TTTAGGTGTCTTTGTATCCGGGTTTAGTCATGAAGTTGTGAGAATGGGTTGGCAGCGAAGGTCTTTAGCGGAGGGGGGACTGATCTAACTTCTGTCGCGGCTATTCGTCTGAACCGGTGACTAATCTTGTTTCCATGGGGGTTTTAGGCTTCGTGGATTTTCTTTCCTCTTCTTTTGTTTAGTTTTGGATTTTAAGTTGATTGTTGTTTTTGGCGTGTTTGTTATTTTGGTTTTTATTTTCTTGTCTCCTCACAATCTATATTTATATGTTTGTCATTTAGTTTTCCTCTTGTTTTCAAATTTCCTTGCTACCTTGTCATCGCCGGCCCTCTTCCTCCTCCTCCTCCTCCTCTCTCCTCCTCCTCCTCCTTCCTCATTTCTTGCTTGTCTTCCTGTGTTCATCCGTCTACACTTCACCGTTCTTCTTCCGCTCCCCTGAAATTGCCTCATTCGCCCCCCTCCCCCCTTCCCCCCGCTCTGACCACGACGCAGGAAGTGAGTCACCCTTATTGTGCATTATCTGTGACCCGCAAAAACCACACTTTTGCCCCCCTTACTACGCCATCCTCTCCCGCTTGCTCCTCCCCACCCTATTCCCCTCCCCTCCTCCCTGGCCCACGCTCACACCTGCGCCCGCATGCATGTTTACCTTCCTGTACAATCCACGACTCCCCACCCCTCCCCACCCCTCCCCAGCCTCCTACCGTGCTCCTCCCCGTAATCGTCCCCCACCCTCCCCACCTGTTCCCATCCCCTCTACCAATCCCCTCCACTTATCCACCAGCACCCCCACCCCTCCTACCTGTCCCCTCCCGGACTCACTGTCACGCATTCTCCCCCCCCCCCCACCCCCCTCCCCGCCCATCCACCCCCACTCACCTACCTCCACCTATCCATCTCTCACCTGTCAATCCGTATCACCCCTCACCCCCCTACCAATCACCCCCCCCCTCACCCCCAACCCATTCCCACCCTCCCCTCACTCACCCCACCCACACGCCTCTTTAACTACCTTGTGTCCCCTCCACTCTATCCTGCTGCTGCTCTGCCATGCCTCCCTCACCTTCCCTCATCCTCCCTCATCTATATATATGCGGCTGTGTGAGCGTGCGTGCCTGCGTGCCTTGTGTGTGTGTGTGTGCTTGCGTGTGTGTGTGTGTGTTGTGTGTGTGTGTGTGTGAATGAATATATATATGTGTGTATGTATGCATGTATGTATCTATGCACGTGCTTTATGTTTCTTTTGCATCAAGCGAACCAATCTGCAGCGGCACAGGCGGTGGTTCGCAGCCCGAAGTGCTTCCGATATGGCGCCGCGGCCCCTGCCTGGCATTCTTACACCCCGATCCATTTTTTCCCCCAGACATTCCTACTTCTTCAACTCGCATGTCTTTGTCCTCCCCTTTCCTCTTTCTAGTGCTCTTCCCCCGCCCTCTGCCTCCCTTTTACTCACCTTTCTTCCTTTCCCCTTCCCTCTCCTCCTACTACCCCTTTGTCCTATTCTCCTCCTCTTCCCCCTCCCCTCCGCTATCCCCCCCCCCTGTCCTTCCCCCTCCTTCACTCTCCCCTGTGATTTTTACTCCCATCTATTAAGCTCACCCCCCTCCACCCCCCCCCCCCACCACCACACACACACACACACACTGCGTTGTTCCAATCTGCAGGATATTTCCAGAGCTTATGCTTGCTGAGGTATCCATTTTGAGTCTCGACAAGCAGTGATTTCTTCCCTCCCCTTCCCCCCCTTCCCTCCCTTCCCCCCCTCCCTCCCTCCCTCCCTCCCTTCCTCCCTCCCTCCTTCCCTCTTTCTCTCCCACTCTCCTTCCCTCTTTCCTTCCCACCCACCCTCCTTCCCTCTTTCTCCCACCCTCCTTCCCCCCATCCTCCTTCCATTCCTCTCTCTCTCTCCCTCCACTCTTCCCTGTTTCCCTCCCGCCCTTCGTCTCTCTCTCTCTCTTTCCCTCCTTCCCTCTCTCATTCCAGTCTGTTTTCCCCTTTCTTCCTTCCTCCCTCCTAACTTCCCTCCCTCCTCCTCTCCTCCCTTTCCGATCCTTGGAAATTTGGAAATTGTCTGATTTGCCGTCTTTTTTAATTTTTTAAATCTATTTTTTATTTTTTTTTTATTATTATTTTTTATTGTGGTTGTGTGCAGGGGAGCGGTTTATTCTTTTAGCCAATTTTCCATGCACGCAAACACACTCCCACATTACTACTCTTTCTCTCTCTCTCTCTCTCTCTCTCTCTCTCTCTCTCTCTCTCTCTCTCTCTCTCTCTCTCTCTCTCTCTCTCTCTCTCTCTCTCTCTCTCTCTCTCTCTGTATGCGTGTGTGTCTCCTCTCCCTCTTCCCTCTTCTCCCTCCCTTTCTCATCGTCCCTTTTTCTCCGTCTCCCTCTCGATTCGCCAAACCCACAGCACCATTTTTGCCCGTTTTGTCTTTTCCCCTCTTTCTTTATTTTTCGTCTGGTATTTTCACCTTTGTCTCTACCTATCTCGCATTTCATTGCTGGGTCCTTCCTCCCTCCCCCTCCCCCACTTCCTTCCCCTCTCTCCCCTCTCCCTCCCTCCCCTTCTCCTCTCCTCCACCGCCCCTGCGCTCGAGAGATAAAAAGGGGTGGAATGCAGTCCAGGTTGTGTGTGTGTGTGGTGTGTGTGTGTGTGTGTGTGTGTGTGTGTGTGTGTGTGTGTGTGTGTGTGTGTGTGTGTGTGTGTGTGTGTGTGTGTGTGTGTGTGTGTGTGTGTGTGTGGTGTCTGTGTGTGTGCGTTTTGTTGCGCGCGTGTGTAAAGGGAAGGGATCGTGAGAAATAGGGAGAGGGAAAAAGAAAGAGAAATGTAAAGGGGAAGAGAGATGTACACTCACCCACGCACAAACAGAGAAGTAAGTCATGCAGAGAAGGGGGCGAAGAATTGAAAGAAAAAGTAAAAAAAACAAAACTAACAAAAGAATATCCAAATAAAGCAAACAACCAATAGAATAGACTTACGAAAGAAAATAAACCAACATACACAAACAATCCCATGATATGATGCACACCTCATGAATTCTCAGAGTCGGCTGTTATTGCATGACTAAACCGCATGATCCACGCATTTCAGTATTGGTAACTGAAGAATGAGCGCATTACATAAATATTCCGGAATTACGCAGTTCTTGATGTTTGTAATTGGCGAAGGAAATGATATCCTGTAAAAGGGATTTAGGAATGAAATGTTTTGAATCGATATGGCATTAGTTAAAAGACACTACTGTATTTTGGCTTGCATGCAAAGACTGGTAAGACACAATGTTAGGATTGTTTTTTACTGTGGTTTTGTTATTACGGATTTTATTGCATTGATATCACCACCATACCACACCACACCATCACCACATTATCACCACCACTATCACCAACACAAACCACCACCACCACCACCACCACACCACCACACCACCACCACACACACCACCACCACCACCACCACCACCACACACACACCACCACCACACCACTAACACAACACAACACACACACAACACTACCACCAACACCAACACTACACCATAACAACACCACCACATCACCATCATCCCCACCATCATCACCATCATCCCCACCATCCCACCACCACCACTAACACCACAAACACACTACTCACCACCATCACCACTACCACCACCATCACCACTACCACCACCATCACCACTACCCACCACTACCACCCCACACCACCACCCACCACCACCCACCACCACCACCACCATTACCACCACCACTGCCACCACTAACACAACCATCATCATCATCATCATCATCATCATCATCATCATCATCATCATCATCATCATCATCATCATCATCATCATAATCAATCATTATCTGTAAAGCCATCATCATTAGCATCATTATTCGTAGCTTCATTACTGAAAGGATGCTAAGTGATTCAGAGACCTTTGACCTGATCCAGGAAGAACCCGAGATCAAGGAGGAGCCCAAGAGATGAAGGACGGAATTGATTAGAGTAAACTTAATGATTACTTTATACTTGAGTCTGAGAACTTGAGAGACTACAGAGGTGCATCTCTGTCCCCTTTTTTTCTCTTTTTTTTGTATGATGTTCCTTTTGTATTTGTGTTATTCTCATTCTTTTGTTAATTATTTTTCGTGTTTTTCTTTATTTTTTATCTGTTTTCTTGGGCTGTGTCACTTCCTTGTTTTTTTATCGTGTTATTGATATTGGATGTCAAATATCCTCCTACAGCAATATGAGGTTGCAAAGGAGTTCTTGTGTTATTGGATCTGATATTGCGATTGTATTTGTTCTCAGTATGAGCATTTGGGCTATATACTGGTTGATATGATGATTGCATTGTGTATCTTCCGAAGTGGTAGAATTTTGCAGTAGGATTTTATGTTTTAGGTGTATCTTTTAAGTTTTACATGGGTATTAATCATCAATTTAATTCCTTAGAGGGAATATGTAATGTGCAAACCATTATGATGATCCTTTCCTTGAGTATTCTGCTTTTGTTTTTGTTTTTCTTTCTTGTCAGTGTTACTATATTTAGGGGATTTTGATTTTAGTATTTTTTTGGTTTCAGCTACATGTATTGACATATTTTATGTTTTGCCTTTGTTGTTATTCTTGTTAAAGGGATCATAGTTGTTTTACTATTAGTAAATATGTATATGAATATATATATTGGAAAAGGAAAAGCATATTGGAATCAATAGTTTTCTTTTTCTTTTCTTCATATTGCTTACTCTGGTGTCCTCCATCTCACACATTTATATCAACATCTGATTTACACATATTGCAATAACATGAAATAAATTCGAAATATTTAGAATTGCATATATGGGAAATATTCATGCAAGGAATATGTAATGGGGTTATGTATATTTCATAGTAATAATAGATAGTACATAGGTAAAGCTATTGACATGATTATAGATGTCAATTTGTTATTCAGATGTGTATATGAATATTAGAAATGAAAAAGATCTTCAAGGAAATGCAAGATGTTTGAAGAGATATTAAACTTGGGGGATAGCTGGTTCCCATGGGGAGCTGTAGATACCCATCAAAGGGATGCTGGTATATGAAGGATGTAACTCACAATGATAAATTCATAACTTTAATATGAATATGTTTGTATATATTAGACAAGACTTCAGAGACATGTACCTCCTTTGATCTCTAAGGCTGAATCATTTTTTTTTAAAGTTAGGTTGAATATTGAAATATCTTCAAAGAAAATATGACTACCAGAAAATTCTGATATCTTGAAGAACATCCTTCCCAAAGAGATTAATAATTTCTGGTCTGCAAGAGCCAAATAATAGAATTGGAATTGAAATGTAGGTTATGGGAATAGTACCACAATTTCTAGAAACTGAAAATAGATATATGACCAGTAACTTTTTCATTTTTATTCTTTACTCTTGGTAGACTTCCTAGCATTTCTAGTCTATTTTATAATGTGTTTGTATCCTCAGTACAATTGTGGGGTGTACATATTTGAACAGTTGTGAGGTGTACATATTTATGGCCTGAGAACAGTGCAGTATCTCACTCTTGTTATTCTTTCAGGCCATTTGTAGACACATTATGATGCTAATTTTGTGATGTCAGAACACTAAGAGGAACTGACTGCATAGCTTATAAAGTATTAAGTATTTATTTTGAAGTTATTGGTGTTAACCTTCTAATTCTCTTCCTTTTCAGAACTTTGAGGTTGTGCCATACCCAAAGGAGAAGTATGGACAATTCTACCAAGGAGATGCATACATTGTCCTCCATGTAAGTACCTTTTTGCAGTGTTTAGTATTATTCTGTATTGTTCTGGCATCATTGATGTTGTAAGTTGTGCTTGTGGAAATGATTTTGATATAGAATAAGGCTCTCTCAGTTTGTGTGTGTGTGTGTTTGTGTGTGTGTCTGTGTGTGTATGTGTGAGTGTGTGTTTGTATGTATATGTGTGTGTGTGTTCTTTGTCTTTGTCACTGTCTGTCTGCTTGTCTCTGTGCACAAGTGAATAAATGTCAGTGTTCTTACCTAGTTGTTTGGATACGGGAGAAGAGCTATGCTCAGGTGGTCCCGTCTGCTATATTTAAATTATCATATAACTTTTTAAATTGATGTACAGTTTTGGCACACACTACTTGATTGGGGAGACTGTTCCACGATTCAATAATTCTGTTTGGGAAACTATATTTTTGACATCTTTATCACCTCTTTTTACTTTCAACTTTTTGTTGTGTCCTCTCGTTCTTCTTGTGTTCAGGATCAAAAAGTCATCCTTATCTATTTTCACTCTTCCTGTAATGCAGTTGAAAAGCATAATCATATCCCCCCTTTTCCTTCTTTCTTTCTGTGTGTGTGTGTGTGTATGTGTGAGTGTGTGTTTGTATGTATATGTGTGTGTGTGTTCTTTGTCTTTGTCACTGTCTGTCTGCTTGTCTCTGTGCACAAGTGAATAAATGTAAAACTTCTGAAAAACAGACTAGAGGACCATTCATTTAAATCTATTTGGATTTCTTGTGTCCATGTTACTGGCATAATTTTTTGCTCTAGAATTTCTACCTGGGCCAGTTAAATGTTGATTTTTGTGGGAAGGTACACATAGTTGCTTTGCCCATGGCTGAATATGGGCCTCACATTGTGGAATTAAAGTAACTAAAAATAAGTTTAACATGAATTTTGTTACAGAGAAAACTCTTCAGATGGTAATTATATGCCATTATTTTCAGACCATTGATATCAAAGGGACTAAGAAGTGGGACCTGCATTTCTGGCTTGGATCCCAATGTTCTCAGGTATAGTACATCTAAAAATAGTATATAATATTTCATTCCAAATGTATTATTCTGCAAAAGGCTTGTGATGTGATTTCAGTTTTCATAGATGTGGAAATAAGTTACCTAAAGTTTATCCATGCATACTCTTGTCATGTTGAATACTATTACTGTAATGAAACTTGTTTTAGGATGAGGCAGGAGCAGCAGCTATCAAGACAGTAGAGCTTGATGACCAACTCGGAGGCGTTCCAGTCCAGCACCGAGAGGTGGAAGGTCACGAGTCTTCCCTATTCCTTGCCTGGTAAGATGTTACAAATCTGGAATCAAGGGTGATCCAGGAGAGTTTTACATTTAAAAATATTGTTACATAAATTTTGAATTGTAAGATAACTGCTGAGTGAAGAATTCTTCCATCTCCATTGCGATATGATATATGTAATGCCATAGATATCTGGATATTTAAACAAATTTTAAGTATAGATTTTTATTATTTTTGTAGTGCTAGAGTTTGTTTTGGATATGACCCTAAGTTCTCCCAGTGTGTCTTTTATTTTTTTGTTCAGTCAGGTTCAATGTGTTGCATGATTATATATTTTTTCACAGACATGACACAGGACAAATTCATTAACATATGGAAATTGTCAGTGAAACTAATGATCATGATTATTATTAGTAGTAGGCATAGTATGCCTAGTAGTAGGAGTAATAGTATTGTTAATATTGATTATTTTTATTATTGGTATTGATAATAGTATTAATATTGATATTGATATTAGTATCAGTATTTTTTTGTATTATTTTTACTATTATTATTTTTTAGGTTCAAGAAGGGTGTGAGATACCTGAAAGGAGGTGTCGCATCAGGCTTCCATCATGTTGATCCCGATGAGCCCTACCCAGCCCGCCTCTTCCACGTTAAGGGCCGTAGAAATATCCGCATCAGGCAGGTTCGTTTTAAGGGAATATGTTTACATGGGTACATTGTAATGGCACTCTTAATTTTTTAATTATACTGGTATTTTTAATGTGTTAAGCTTTGAATGTCTGGTGAATAATGAATTATAGCTTTGATAGCTTTTGACAGTTTCTGATAAGGTTTAAGATGCCTACTCTTTGTATGATACTTTTGATAACATTCATATACTTTATGAATGATCAGCTATAATGTGGTTACCTACTGAATTTTCTTTTTAAAGGTTGAAGTAGGTGTTGGATCCATGAACAAGGGTGACTGCTTCATCCTTGACTGCCGCTCTGAGGTGTACGTGTACATGGGTTCGGCAAGCAGAAGGATGGAGAGAATGAAGGCCATTATGGCTGGCAATGGCATTAGGGATGATGACCATGCTGGCAAGTCAAAGGTGATTGTTATCGGTAAGTGAATGAAAAACTGTTGTCCAATTGATATAACTGATTTGGTTAGGTTGAGAATGTTTTAATTGAGCAAGGAATTTTTTGTGTATGATTCAGTGTGTGATCTATTTAGTTTTTTATCCTCTCTGTTTCAAGACAAACAGTATCATAATCAGGTTTGCCAATTATATATTTAGATATGCATTCATAATTTTGCAAGTTGGTCACTGAGTAGGCTCTGCTTTATATACAGGTAGTTCATTATATATGCTGTTTTAAGTTTTCAGTGATGTAGCCCACTTCTTAGTGTTTGTGGGAAAAATTTAAGAAAATGGGAATTTTATAAAATGTCCTTACTATTTCCCTGTTTTCTTAAATAGTTACTATTTTCTAAATATATTAGAAAAATATTTCTTTAATGATTAGTAAGGAAAATTATTTTTCATCATCACTCTTTGGAGTCTGTTTTGTAAAATGTTTTAACAGACAGGTTTAGCTGATAAAGATTCAGCTTTTTCTAAGATGTTAAGATTTTGTTTTTCAATTTTGATGATCCACCAGAATTCATCAGCTTAGAGAGTTATTAAATTGTGTAAGTGAGTCTTCCCTAACTATACAAACCTTTCTGTCAGATGAGAGTGCATCATCAAGTGAGATTGAAGCATTCTTCGAGGCTCTTGGTGGCGGCTCCCCAGATGACATTGCTGATGAGGATGCTGCAATGGAGGATGCTGCTTTCGAACGCTCAGAGAATGTATGTACTTCTTCCTGTTTTTTTTTTTTTTTTTTTTTTTTTTTTATATAAAAATGTCATATCGTGTCACATTGTGCCAGACCTAACCATGGATGGCACCTTGTCATTACATGGCCTAAACCAGTGATTCACTGATAGTCATGGTATCATTTGCTTGCAGTCACCATTAGACACAGGCATCAGTAGTGTGGGATTTTTTTTTTTTTTTTTTTTTTTTTTTTTAATAATTGCTTATCAAATCCAGCTACTAATTTTAGATGCTCAAGGTCATGCTTGAATTAACAAACAAGCTATGCAGAAATGGGGCAAACTGCCAATGAGTGCGGATAATCTTGCATTGCTAGTTCCAAGCCAGTATGGATTTCACTCTCTAGGAAGAATGTCATATTGTTAATAATTCTTAGATTGTTATTATTATTTTTTTTATGAATTGTTTGGGTTATTATTTCTATCCTTTCACTTCATAGCCCTTTGTAGATGAAAGTCAGAGTAGAATATGATATAGAAATATTCTGTATTAAAAGAATTATGAGAGTACTAAATAACATGATTTCAACAGAATGTGATATCACTGCACCATGTGTTTGAAGATGATAACAACATTATCCAGACCAATCTCATTGGAGAAAAGCCCCTTCTTCAGAGCATGTTGGACTCTGGGGTAAGTCGAGGATTTCTTGCTGTGTTACACATACATTTATTGTGTTTTTTTTATTAAGTGTGGTGTTTTGGAATGATTTTTTCCTTTTTTTATTCTTATTTAGCTTGTACCTGTTCCAAGTTGTGGTTATTATTATTTATCATATATTTCTGATGTTCACAAAATTATATAGGTGTTATATCTGTATGGTATTAGATTGTTCTATGATTCCTGGATATTTGTGGCACAAAGTTATGAAAAATGAGTTCATCTTTTGATTATTCACATTAACCGTGAGAAGTAAAAAAATTTCAGATTTCAAATGAAATACTTTTCATTCAGTATACAAAGATTGAGTTAATCTCTTTTTATATTGTGGTTATCATATATGCATCAACTTTAATTTATTATTCAGTTACTACTTATTTTTGTTTTGTTTTAATGGTATAAAGATGTGTATAGGTAGATTGCACAGGCTATAATCCAATAAACAAATTGTGTTGATTCACAGTATGTCACTCTTATTAGATACTTAGTTTTTTCTACTGTAATTTCAGACAGGTTTTGCAATTACTTCAAATGCAAGAGTGTACATATATCAAAGAAAGTTATGGGCATGAGTACTAACCATTGCCAAATGATACTGAATTCTTATTAGTGATTTAGTATTAGACACTGCATGGGAAAATGTACCTTCATTTAGCATGTCAGTTGTCTAAATTTTTATGATACCTTTCAACATTATTAAAGTGAGAAATAGTCTTAATTTAAGTTAATCCTGATTTGTTATGTTGCCGGAATATTTATTGACAACATTAATTCTTTCTGGTAATTTTTTCAGATAGTATTATTTTTAAGACCTATTGTTGTGTATGTTTTAAAACTATGCATTTTAAGTGTTCTCTTTTATCTGTTATGCCAGAAAGTGCAATTTTTGTCACTTAATTGTTCATACCCTTACTAGATAACTTGTAAGGGTGATCTTTAGTGATGCATTTAGTAGTGATTGAAGTCTTATTTTGAGATTTTTTTGGGACACTATCTTCTCTTTAGGGTTTGATTCTTTAGTCGAGGATGTACAAAATTCAGCATTCAACTTTTAGGACCATTAAACTTTGGATGATATGAGACAGTGAATATTAGTTTGAGAGGTGATGTCATACTCTTATTTATGTGCTTTCACAGTGATTAGTTCCATAACTATAAGGAAAACATGTTATTTTTAGTATAGTATCAAACAATATTTAAAAGATGCAAATTTTCAAGAATGTAACCTATCAGGAGTAAGCTTTTAACTATATGAAGGTTGTTTTGCCAGATTCATTATGAATTTTACATTATTAAGATTACTGGCATTTGTATGACTATGATATATTAGAAGTAGAAATTTATGATATTTTTTAGGTTTCCTTTTTATCAAAACTACAATTTTCAATATACAGTTTTGTATGTAAGTTGAAGTTACTGTTACAGCTAGCAAGTGTTTAGGAAGAGAAAGCAAAGTATGACCAATGCCCTTAAGACAGGAATCAAATTTATTACCAATTGGACTTGTATCTAATAGATAATTTGGCTCCAGTTTATATTTTAGGGGATTAGAATGAATGTTTGTATAATTCATCTTCTATACCAATTTATTTATGAATATGTTATTTTCATATAATTTAGAATGAAGAGACATTGGAACAGGATTGGGAATGAGGATTAATTATTAGTATTTTCTCCTTTTCTGTTTGATTTAGTGGCTATTACTTTGACATAATTAATTGAGGAATATAGGAATATCATTAAAATGCATTTTGCATGTTAGATATTATGCTTCATTGCTTCAGGACAGTATAGATTGACTGAAATGCTTGGTGAGGCACTAGGAGGAATGGAGTTAACAAAGACTATCTTTAATTAAAGCATAGTGCTAGCTTTTCGTAAAATCAGAATTTCCCCAAAGCTATAGAAGAACGTCAGTCATCTTCAGTTTATTTGAGAATATGCAGTTTCTTTTTTTGACAGATGAAATGTAACTTGCACTCTACCACAAAATGATTCTATGCTATAGATCTAAGCATTGTTTGTTGCAACCAACTTTCATCTCACTTACTCAGAATATTTTACTTATCAGCTACGGTGATAATCGAAAAATTTTCTTATTCTGTATGTACAAGCATATAGATATGTAATATGACTGATGTGAAATGCATCCATGTACATGCTCATCCACATGTAGACCCACGGCCACACCTACACTATACTTAGACACACATGCACAAGCAATCACATGCTCAACGCATGAGCACTGATCACAAAATCACTTGCACACACAGTTATGGTTTGAGTGCTTTTTAACTGTCTGTAAAGCTCATAAGATCAAAAATGTGTGAAGTACCTGCATAGGAGAATTAATGTGTCCCTTGGCAAGAGAGGTGTACAAATTACCTTGTGTTTAAGCTCAAATATAAATTAAGGAAATATCACATATCAATTTTGCAATATGAGATAAATTTTTCAGTTGATAGAAATATTTGTTAAAAAAATATTTAAGTCTGTAGACATTAATTTTCTCAGATCATTCTTTATTATGTTGTAATAGTTTGACGATTTTGATACATACATGATAAATAGACTAGTAACTAGGAAATTAGGAATTCCTTTGTATTGGCAAAAACTATTTGCACTGTACTTCTATTGATAATTCCAACAACAAGGCTGAGCATTGCAAACTACAAGAAAAAACTATCAGGAATTATTGTCTTTTGCTGCTTCAGTTGAGCCAAGCATGTGGTGTAATGGTCACAATCCTAGACAGTTCATGTTAAAGTAACTATAATCTTGTGATCTTGATATAATGACTTTCCCTGAAATGAGAGATGTGATGTTTCAAAGGAGTCTCAAAATTTCAGTTATTTTAAAATACGAGGGATATTTATAGATGATGATATATAGAAATCTATGAATATTTTAGGACTAGGCAATGTAAATGAGTAATCATTTGTAGGCTTATGATGTTGGTTTTCTTTTTTTTTCTCCCTTTTTTATTATAATTTTTTACAAATTTTTTTGTTTATTGATAAAGAGATTTTTACAGATCTAAGCATAATTAGAATGTAAAGGTTTTGTCAAAAGTACGAAGGGTAATTGTGATGGATCTTTTCATAATTTGGTAATTTCAATTGCCAATTTCTTTCTTTTTTTCTAGAAAATATTAGGTTTATTCATTGCATATTTCAGAGAACCATTTTCAATAATACATTGTTGTATTATTAAGAGTATATTATTTTGATATTGAGATTATATATTAAATTATCTCTTCTTATACATTAAAGTGAAAAATAGATTTACTCCTCACTGAAAAAAAAGAGAAATGGTTCATTATCAAAAGAAATCATTAGAATGTAACTTTTTTTCTTGAATATTTGATTATAAAATTCTTTATGATGGTACTTACAAAATAGATGTTCATATTTTTATACATCTCCCAGTATTTTTTATATGTGGTTGTAGCATCAGGCAGTGTTGTTGCAGCAGTGTGGTGTTCTCGTGGTCTTGATTATGTGATTAATTGGAGAACTGTCCAGCATTGTGATGATAAAAGTTTTTCTTGTTTTGTTGCAAATCCTGTAGGATTTTAAAGGTTTTTAAACTTAATTTTTATTTTCTTTATTTTAGTTAACTTATATATACACAGTTTGTAACCTAAATGTCTGCTTCGTTTTTCCATAAATCCCATATTTGACTCGAATTGATTGTGGCTTATACCTCTCCACACAACAGGAAAACCAGCAGGTAAATATGAGTTGATACGGATATTGCACAGTATGGTCACTTGGTTCTAATGTACTGTATATGTTTTGCATACTTTTGTATATCACCAATAGCTTCTTTTTTAAATGTCTCTCACAGCTTTTGTCATTCATCTGTTTAAACGGTTTATTTTCTTTTCTTTTTTTTTTCCTTTTAATTAGTGATGGGGTTATCCCATTTCTTTACTAAAAAATTGTAGGTTGGTTTAGTTATTTGCTAAACAAATTTAGTGATGTTGTTTTGTAGATAAAGTGTGTATAGGAAAGTATATCAGTTGACTTCTGCTTTTGACAAACATATTTCAGCAGTGGGCAAAAGTTTATGCTTTAAAAGCTTTGAACTTTTATGCTTTTTTGTGTAAGGTGTGTCCAACAAAATATTAACATTTTTAAAACTTTCCCCCAAGAACCCTTGTATAAATAAAGTATCCGTGTGTGTGGATGAATGAGTGAAATAGAGTGTTGTTTCAATTGATTTTATATATCTTATCAGTAAGACTACCTATCCCATAACATAATGTTGCTTTACAAATGAAATGAACTACATGTATATATTGCTTATGTTTTCAAGGCATTGGTTTCAAATTACTGCAGAGTACCAGTGCACTAAAATTTACAGTAGCAAGCAAAACAATAATAACATTATTTGCTTTTCATGCATATGTTTTATTAATTTAGAACTTGAAATGTGTTTTTTAGCTTATTGTAGGATCCTAACAAAAGTAGGTAAGGTTAGATTCCTTTTTAACTTGATAAAGTACTGAGGGCTTTGACATTTATCATTTATACTATTCTACCTTTGCATGTACTGAGCTACTAATACCATGAATATATCTGCTAGCTTATTTTAGCTTTAGAATTTTATATATCTTGAAAAATTACTAATGATATATTAAAGGTATTCAGAGGATTTAGTTGACAGGTGGTTTGTAAGTTAAAGTAAAAATCCATCTTCACTTATTCTTTATATTGAGGTTAAAGGTAATATTATGCTTTGTTTTTGGGAAAACTAAAACTCTGAATATCTGTTATTGCATAAGGTGATGGTTAAAATCCTTTATATTGAATGTGTCCTTTTGATGAATGATATTCTGGAATTGCTTTGTCCTGAAACATCTACTGTAGCTTGTATACTCTTTAAGAAGCAGAAATATGTCTGTATGCATAAATCTCCTTAATTTTATATTTCTGATATATGGTATCATATGATTGTTCTTCTTATGGTTTAGTTGGTATATTGTTATGTTGCTGTATTTATTTTATAGATGAAAAATGAAATTTTGATTTATGAATTTACCTATTTTACAGTCATTTTTTGTATTTTTGTTAATCCACTTAACTAATTTTCACTTACATGACCTGGTTTAGTATATCTTGAAGGAAAATTTCCACTGTGATATATTGTGGTGTATGTTAAAAAGAAAGGTATTGCATAACAAGATACAATATTGGTGACTTGTTACATGGATATCCTTTTCATTATGTAAAACATTTTTAACCTACACCATAAAGAACCTTGATAGAGTGACTAATCCTCTTTATTTTCATGCTGCTAGGACTGCTTCATTCTGGATACAGGCGTCAGTGTCTATGTCTGGATTGGCAGCGGATCCAGCAAGAAGGAGAAGGTCAAGAGCATGGAGATGGCTGGTATGTTATGTTTTACGGAGTACAGGAGTTAAAATTTTTTTATGTTTTATACATTTATAGGGTTATGCAAATAAGTAAAGAGACATAGATAATGGAAAGCATATTTTTCCTGTATTTATGTTCTTGTTTGTTAATTCATCTTAAAAGTTGTGATCTACCTGTGCTTGTCAATTGTTTTTGTGCTGAAGTGATGCCCTTGACTATCCACAGCTGGATATATGGAACAGAAGGGCTATCCAAAGTGGATGAGTGTGCAGCGTGTTGTTGAGAAGGCTGAGCCTGCAGTTTTCAAGTCCTACTTCAAAATGTGGAAGGAGCCAGAGGAAACAGTTGGTCTCGGCCGTGTCTTCACAGAGCGACAGATCTCAACTGGTTTGTTGATGTTTGAAATGTATATAGATCTATGTCTGTAAATGTGTGTTAACATTTTGATGTTAAGGAACAATTTGTCTTGAGGTCTATATTTGAGTAAGACTTGGTAGGAATACTATGTTGAAAGTAAGGGAGAACTGACAATATGTTTTTCCACCAGTTTCTGTACCTGAAGTTGACTTCGATGTCAGCAGCCTTCATTCTGAGAAACGTCGCTTGTTGAGGAAGAATGCTGGCCCAGCCTTTGGCTTTATGCCAGATGATGGTTCAGGCAAGGTTAGTAGAGAGCTGTTTTATTATGTTTTTGTTTGGTAATAATATTTAGTCATGTTACTGCAGTCTTAAATGCTGTTAAAACATGGAATATCTTTTTAGTAATAAAATATCTACATTATATTTCTTTGTAGATTGAGATTTGGCGCGTGGAGGACTTTGAGCTGCAGCCTGTTGATGAAGGAACTCACGGCTTCTTCTTCGGTGGCGATTCTTATGTTATCAAATATACATATGAAGTTAATGGACAAGAAAAATACATCATATATTTCTGGCAGGTGTGTGGAATAAGTTTTTTTTTTCCTTTTCTGAATCCAAGCACAACTTCTTTTTATTTTTTATTAAAAGATATGATCGGATGAAGTTTAATATTTATTAGCAAAGAATTTTATTACAAAAAATGTTTAGATTTTATTAAAAGTATATCTTTGCACCCATCAGTATCTTTTGTTGTGGACTTATATATCTATTAGAAAAATTTGATAACTCTAAGAAATATATGACTATTATATGATGGGAAATTACACTTTCCCTTGCCTATACATACATAAATGCATGCATGTTTGCATTTGTGTATGCACACAAGTGTTTATATATATGTGCACACACATGTGTTTGTCATTGTACAAGTTGGTGTCATTCATAATATGTATTTGAATTTATTTATAATTTCAGGGCATTGCAAGCAGCCAGGATGAGAAGGCTTCCTCAGCAATCCATGCTGTCCGACTTGACAATGAACTTAATGGAAAGGCTGTCCAAGTACGCGTTGTTCAAGGCTATGAACCTGCTCACTTCCTGAGGATGTTCAAGGGTAAGTTATAGTGATAATACTTTTTTATTTACATCAACTCTCAACTTATTAAAGCATTTACACTGAGCATGATTGGTGCTGTTTCATGTATTTTGGCCCATATCTGGTTTCATTTTCTTGGGGGATCATTTGTACCAGGTTTCTGAAGGCCTCTGTTTCAAATGTGAATTCAGGCACCAAAGATATTTGTATTTCCTACAAAATGGGCCGTAAATGCACAAAACTACTTCTGAAATGCTCATCCATGCATGGCATTCAGTTTGCTAAATTTTCCAGTCAGTTACAGTAAAAAAAAATATTATGTTTAGTTTTCTTTAGTTTGTGGTTCTAGCTTTTCGTTGTCAAGACAGGTAATAGAAATTGAAGTGATGCACTCTTTGCTCATTAGAATTATTATAAAAACTAAGCGGTGTCCTTAAATTGAAGCAGCAAATATCAAGAATGCAGAAAAATTAAAGGTCCTACAAAGTAGGATTAGATATCAGCATAAAGTTGGAGTCATTTGAGGTTATTGCATTGATTTGGAATTTTGATTCAGTTCAGACAGTATTCATATAAATGACCTCTAATGCCCATTTCTTTTCTTACATCTGTTTAATGCTTTTATTTATGTCCTTAAAGAGTTTATCTGAGGTTGTGAGAGTAATTTTCTGTGAATTTTTTTCAGGCCGTTTGGTTGTATTCCTTGGTGGTAAGGCTTCTGGCTTTAAGAATGTACACGACCATGACACATATGATGCTGATGGAACCCGCCTCTTTAGGGTATTTTATTCTTTAATTTTCTTTTTTTGTAAATACTTTGTGGGATGCCTTTCCAGTTGGCATGAATGATATTGATGTTCAGCTAACAGAAGTGAAGATGTATGGATAAATGTAAAAGATTGAAACAGATAACTTTTTGAAAGGCAGATATATTACATATTTTGAACTTCATTGCTTAGGTGAGGGGAACCTGTGACTTCGATACAAGAGCTATTCAGATGGCTGAAGAAGCTTCATCTCTTAATGGTGATGATGTCTTTGTCCTGGAGACACCAGGTGCTACCTACCTTTGGATTGGTCAGGTAAGAATTGTTTCTGGGTTAGTACACCCTCAGAAAAGCAGTTAGTAATGACTGGTCCACAGTACAGGATCACTTTAGTCTGATGGGAGCAAACCGTATTTTCCATCTTGCAGTCATCATTTAGAAAATATAGTGTGTATGATATATCATATATGGTGTTCATTCTCTTTATATTTGTTAAAAGTTTGCATTGATACATTATATCTTATTGAAGCATGTTTTATTTTGTATTTTAAATTGTTTTTGAAGATTGCAGTGAAAAATTTCCAAATAGATTATATGTACCTAAAAACGATATGTTTGAATGATAGCTGGTTGAAATATTGGAAAAAAAGTGTAATATAATATTTACATGTACTTATTACCATATAACATGCCTATTTATAATATAAATGTCTGAAATAGCTAGAGACCTAATTGATGAATCAAACATCACTAAAATACAAAAAAAAAAGATAATAGCAGTAATGACGCAAAGAATCCTATAAACTGCAATTCCTAGTCATCCTATATTGCTTTTATTTATATTTTAATTCCTCATAGGGAGCCAGTGAGGAAGAGAAAGCCATGGGGGCTCGTGTGGCAGAGTTGGTGTCTCCTGGGCGTGATGTACAGGTAAGCAGCAAGTATTTTGTTTCATGCTGTAGGATTTTATACTATGTGCCCAGTAAAACTTTTTACAGTGAAACGGAATGGAAATAACATAAATCTCTACCATAAGATTTTTTTTATATATAGCATGACATAGAATATAGAAAATAAAATAAAAGAATTATATTCAATCAGGAAATGGCTGAAGGCAGTGAAGATGATGGCTTCTGGAGTGCTCTCGGAGGCCAGGCAGACTACCAGAAGGCTCGTGACCTTGACAAGCCACTCCTGTACCCTCGCCTCTTCCACTGTACCATTTCTCCTGCTGGCTGCTTGAGGGTTAATGAGGTTGCCAACTTTGGCCAGGAGGTTAGTGTACTTGAGAAGATAATTTTTTTTGTATTATCATCATGGTTATTAATTCCATCATCAGTTGTGATTGTCATTACTATCATTATGATCATTATACCTCTTTGTATTTCCATTAGCCACTGTAAAAGATCAAAATGTTCTTTTCAGGATCTTAATGAAGATGATGTCATGGTCCTCGATTCTGGTGATGAAGTGTATGTATGGATTGGAAGGGGTTCGGATGACCAGGAGAAGGAAAAAGCATTTGAGATGGCTGAGGTAAATTAAATTCATATAGGGCTTTTTTACACTTTGGGAATGGCTTGTGCATATTGTTTCCTTGAATGGAAGTTTAACTTTCTTTTACAATGTAATGTAACCCTAGTTGTCCAAAAAGAACAAGACATGTAAAAAATAAAAAAAAAGTAAATGTTTGAATTCTCATATTTATAAAAAAGGTCTTTGGAAGATATATCTCCCATTATGAGAGGTAACAACAGGATTAAACTGGAAAAACAAAAGTCAAAGTTAGAAGCTTCAGATTTATAATAGCTGATTTGTCTTCAATGTAAGAACTGTAAGAATATGTGCAACCAGTCAACTTTTATTTTCCTTTGTTGGGACTGACATTTTGAATATTTTATTGCTATTGCATATTTCATTTATGTATTATTATTTACCTTCTTTTGTTTGTTTCATTGTATTGTTTTGTTGATGGTTTCAGTACAAGATAAAACTATCCATCCATAGTCACAGAGATCTCACAATCTGTCTTTCACCCCTCTCCATTTTATTTAATTCCCTTTCTACATCTTTCTCCCAGACATACATCAAGACAGACCCAACAGAGAGAACTTTGGCTTCGACAGTGCTCCTCCGCGTGAACCAAGGAGAAGAACCAGCTGCCTTCACCAGCATTTTCCCAGCATGGAACCCTGACATGTGGGAGGTTAGATTACACATCACAAGGGATTCGCTTTAAGATTTTGGTTCCTTGGGAGATTGGGGGGGGGGGGATTAATTTCTTATATAAGTAGGTTATCTTTGTACATATTTTTCCTTTCATATTTTTTTTTTTTTTTTTTTTAATCTGTTATTGATATTTGTTGATTGTGTTCTTGCTTTTGCTATAATAATAATAATAATAATTATTATTATTATCATGATTGTTATTATTTTTTGTATTAGTATTATCTTAATTATCATCATAATCATCATTACATAATTGTTATTATATCATTTTAATATTATCTATATCATATTTTTTATTATTATGATTATGATAATGATTTTCATCTTCAACTTCATCTTCATCTTCATCTACATCTACATCTTCATCTTCATCTTCATCTTCATCTTCATCCACATCACTTCATCCACATCATCTTCATCCATATCATCTTCATCCATATCATCTTCATCCATATCATCTTCATCCATATCATCTTCATCCTTATCATCTTCATCCTTATCATCTTCATCCTTATCATCTTCATCCATATCATCTACATCATCATCATCATAATCAGGCTGTTAGGATGATGCATTTTTATGAACATTACCATCAAATTTTTGCCATTCCTTCAAATTTTGAATTTGCAGATTAACAGTAGCACATAAAATCATATAAAGATACACACTTTCAGACACACATGAGTACAAATGCATAACCACAACCTTACTCTCTTCAATGCTCTTCCATTTGCACATCCGCAAACACTTCCTTCCCTCTGCAAACACATTCTTACCTTTACACGGAAACAAACACACACACACAACCACACACACCACACACACACACACACACACACACACACACACACACACACACACACACACACACACACACACACACACACACACACACACACACACACACACACACACACTCTCTCTCTCTCTCTGTCTCTCTGTCTCTACTCTCTCTCTCTCTCTCTCTCTCTCTCTCTCTCTCTCTCTCTCTCTCTCTCTCTCTCTCTCTCTCTCTCTCTCTCTCTCTCTCTCTCTCTCTCTCTCTCTCTCTCTCTCTCACTCTCTCTCTCTCTCTCTCTCTCTCTCTCTCTCTCTCTCTCTCTCTCTCCTCTCTCTCCTCTCTCTCTCTCCTCTCTCTCTCTCTCTCTCTCTCTCTCTCTCTCTCTCTCTCTCTCTCTCTCTCTCTCTCTCTCTCTCTCTCTCTCTCTCTCTCTCTCTCTCTCTCTCTCTCCACCCCCCCCCACCCCACACCCACATACGAACACATATTTAGAAAAAGATAAGAAATTATAAGTAATACTAATGATAATGCTAAACACTACATTAAAGACTAACACTTCATTTTCCATTAGTTCTTTAATTGACTTCTCATATGATTAAAGATAAGATATCTTATTTTATGTCTTAATTATTTCTTTTATCTTCATATATCTTGTGTTTCAATTTTTTAAGCTTTCATAAGCATGAAGTGATAATATATGTTTTGAGTGACTTTTATCACAGCTTTCCCTTTTTGAAACTATGTATCCAAATTATAACTTTCAAGCTTATAATAGTTTTTTGTAAGCTTTCAGCTTTATTATCTTGTCAGATTGGCCCTATACCAGCCAATATTTTAATGCATGAAGCTCAATTTACCCCTTTTATAAATTCACAAATCACTATTGGTAATTTAATATCACCATTTATTCCTATAAACTTTGCCAACTCTTTAACAAGTTTCTGTATTTGGAAACTCCTTTGCCAAGCACAAAACATCTTTGATAAATTCAACATCTATGCTTATTTCCGTTGCAGAAGGTGGATTAGACGGTTTGCCGTACTGTGATGTGCGTTGTGTTTTGATAGGTGGTATTGCTTGTAGGCTCTCTATTAATGCTGCCGTGCTCATAGTGCATGTTGCCTCCATGATTAGCTGCAGTCTTGCCATGCAGAGGTAGATTGTTGTTCTAGGAGAATGGTTATTAGTCTCCCCCTAAGGATGAGATCACCTGATTCAACCGTTTACATTTTTAAAATCATAGAGTTTTTATAGAAACTAACTTGGTGGTTATTGCAGCACCTCAACAGAGCTGAGAAGGAGTCTCATAAGAGGTCACAAAAAACGTCTCAAAAGTCTTCTAGCTGGTGCTGTTGCCAATGAGTAAGAAGTAAGCCAGGTCAGCGCAGGAACCTCAGGCTTCACTAACCCCCTCACGATGCTCACAGTGGCAGTATCAGCCATGTTGCTAGCCTCCCTCCCAGTGTCAATGAGTGTCATATCTCTCGAGCTTAGATGTGACACAACACTTTAGTTGACGTTGGTGTTATTTAAACTCTTCAAGCAGTTTCTCTCCTTGTAATTGTTGATTATGAATTTACTCTTTTTGAAGATGAAAGATACTTGAATATTTTGGATGATGTAAAGGAAAATTTGTCAAATTTATTACCATGGCCTGCAAATCTATTTGAAGTCTTCTGTTGCAGAATGCATCATTAAGTGGATGTCATTGGGTGTTGCAATGAAATACACTGAATACACTGGGACCTTGCATGATATATGGTCCACAGCCTGATTGCAAGTAGCTGCTCTGGCTAAACAAGCATTGAGCTGAACAGTGCATAAAGAAATTGATAATGCATTCTTCTTCATGGGCTTTTGTGGTAGATAATAAAAATGGATCTTAGATTTCCCTGAATCATTTTTAAACAAAAAACTGGAGAGAATTTTATTTACAGTACCTCAGTTATAGGAATTAGTTATAAATAATCAAAGACATTATCTGCTGCTGAGTTTGATGACAGTTTTCATTGTTATTTCATGAACCGTGTTTAAAGCATAGATGTGTAAGCATGAGAGGTACCCTGGGGTTGTTTAGTATCTTGTTTCACTAATACCACTAATTCAGTATTTTCACTAAAAGAAAATAAAACTGCTCCTAACCACTATGTAGGGGAGATCAGTTAAGTAACAATGAAGGTTGGTTGTGTTGGAGAGAGTTTTAAATGTTATTTCCAAGGAGTACAAAACAGTGAGTTTCTTCAAGTTTGTTGTTTTGTGTTTTGTGGTGGATTATTTTAGATGGTGGCATTGATACTTAGTTAACCCTTTTAGTGCAGTGGTTGGACTTTGTTGCTCTGAACTTTGTGCCTCTGAAGTACAAAGATTGGAAATGTCTCAATTATATTATAAAATTATGTTAAAAGTATTTATCACTAACTTTTTATAACTATTACTAAAATATAAACTGCCATGTTGCATTTAATACATGTGAATATGATATAGAGCTAACATTAATGGTCATCAGGATTAAAATATCATTATATTTTCCAATTCACTCTAATTTTAGATCAATATCTGAACTAAACAAATTTTCTTCTGATGGATAAAAGAATGGGGTATGCCATTCCTATAAAAATATACCTTAGGAATTTCAGATGCACTCACAGAGTTAAGTCATTCATTGCTGCATGAGATGAGCTTTCATATACATGATATCGGTGCTTGCTTTTGTGCTGCTTTAATGTGATTGCTTGCTTTTTACTCCTTATGCTTGCATATTCATTCATCCTTTCCATTCATAAGATTTTTAACTTTTCACAAACACTGAATGTCACAGGTAACAATTAATACCAACATTTTCATGAATAAGTATACATTTTTGTGTAATCAAAGGTAAAATTGCATATCCTTTGGTATTTCTCATGTTAATCATATAATATCATGTAAGTACAAAGCTTGCTTCATATTATATCTGAACTCTATGTTTTAATACTAAATCCTTACAAATTAACCCGTTCCAAAGCATTTTACTCTACCTAATGATAAGTAAATGTAGATTATACTAAGAATAAAAACTTAATCTTTTATCATACATTTGAAGTAGTCATTGTATGTGTGCCATATCTCATGTTATTTTGAAAAATCTAATAACATGGTCAGTACCATGAACATTTCTGTTAATGTCACATACCATGTATGCTTGTTCAGATTGTGCTTCATTAGAAAATACTTGGGCAATAACTGAGGGACTGATGAACTCAGTATGCTTGTTGCTTGCTTACTGTAGCAGTTATGTTTTGTTGATTTAAGTATAAGTATTTCGTTTGTCATATATTTTCCTCTTCAGTATGTAATCAAGTTGCAGATGTATTGTACATCCTAGTTGATTGATTTATCTATGTAGGGACAGTAGTTTAAGTGGTGGCAAGAAAATATGTGAAACAATGAGATCAAATGGAAGAGGAATTTCGCATTCTGCTTGTTTACTAACATACAGCATATAAATAGGCTAATTAATTATTGTATATACTGCTTCTGACTTCTGAATTTATCTGAAGATGAGATATTATTCTACTGCAGCAGATTCTTAATCTCATTAAACACTACAATATCTTAGAAATGATTGATGTAATAAGTGATGCAGACTACAGAGAAAAGATTTTTTTTTTTTTTTTTTTTTTTGAGATGGTAATGTGAAGCACATAACCCCAATAGTGTACTTTGTATCAATAGGTAGTTGCTGATCCTATTTCACTTAGTGTTAAAATAATCAAGCAAGCATAGAAGATGCTATTTTACATTGTTTTTAGAGATTCACATGATTCAAGAGATGTATCAGAGTGCATAATTTTCTTGTCACCAAGTTTCAATTTTCAATGTTTTAGTTTGTTTTATAAAATAATGATATAGGTTTTAAAGTAATTTGTAGCACTTACATACTTCAGTCAAATAGCTATGTGCACATGTAAATGTTTATGTACAGCATTCCTTAAATTAACTAGTTGCTTACAAAGTAAAAAAAAAAATCATAGGCTGTATATCACTGCATAATTAAGGAAAGAAAATAACATGAGCTCTACTCTGTATTTTACCAATTAACTCTCATGTATCTAACCAGTTTTCTTAATTTCAGGAAATGGTTTCCTACGATGATATGAAGGCACAGCTGGCTGAAATGAATGCAGCAGCAGAGTAATAAACTAATTGAGATGTTTTCTTCAGAAAAAAGTATTATTTAAATGGCCAAAACACAAAAGAGGCTGTTACTTGTAAGCCTAATTGGTTTTCACTCTTTGCCCAAGTTAGCTGCTTGAGTATAATGGAATTGATTTTAGTATTTGCCTATACTTTTTTATGTGCCCTAATTCATAATAATCTCTTTTTATTTTTGAGTGCACATATGTCAAAAGCACAAAATAGGAGAGTGAAATACTTTTTTTTTTTTGTGAAGTATATGATTTACAACAAGAAGAATTATTTAAGATTAGGACAGTAAAAAAAAAAAAAAAAAAAAAAAGAAAAAATGGTGCTTTTGCTTTATGCTATGTAGAAATCGGAGGATCTCTCAAAGGTTGAAATGCTAGTGCCTTAAGTGACGGGTCATGCAATTTTGTAAGTGGGCAGATCTAGACACATGCCTTGCTTAGTCCAGTACAGAAACACGTTGGAAATCCTCATCAGTGAAATGTAGTTTATAGATAATTTTTCATTATCTTTTTTAGGCTTTGGATAGCAGTTCAAGAATATTTTTATTATACATTTGAATAATTGTTATGAAGACATTTATCCCAGTTTTAGAATATTTGGCAATGTCACAGTGAAGGTATGATAAAAACATACTTAAAAGTCATGCTTTTTCCATGTAACTTAATAGTATAGAATTAGGCTTCCAGTATGATAAACAGAGCATTTATGTAGAACCTACTTTTCAACAAATTAAAGATTGATATCTCAAGATCTTTTTTGATTTGTAAGAGCATTTATTTAGCAGACTCGGTGCATTATCGCCAAAGCATTTAAGCTAAAAGTCTATTGCTGTATTCTGTTTCGTACTTTTCTTGGAACTTACAACTTGGTACTTAATCTTCCTAGTCAACTGAGTATTGTCTCTTACTATAATTGTATTTCTATTATTTGCACAAAATAAAAGAATCAAAATCCATATTGATTTTCATTTCCATGCAAGTGACAAGTTGACATACAGTATAAAACTGATATACTAAAGAAATCATGATCAAAAGCCCAAAAGGTAGACACTAATTTTATTGTTACCAGTTGCTTATTTATTACTTGTAGGAAGACATTCAAGGCCCCATTCCACAAAGAAGTTCTGCTTCTCAGGGTCTTCCTCAATGATATTACACTATAATCACTTCTGATACTCGTATTATCCATTGCACATTAGATTATTTGTAATAGCTTATACAGTATTATGGGTATTTTACCAAACAAATTCGTACATAGTTAAAACTGATAGCTCTACAGTAGACAAGGGGATACAGTTGCCCCTATCCTTCTAGTCCCAGAAATTGTAATTATAAAAAAATCTGCCCTCTCGACAAATTGATCACATCTTGGATAAAACAAAACAACAAAATGTTACAAAGCTGAAACAAAAATAAAATGAAATGTTATGTAAATGTGAGGGGTCTTATGCCATAACTGACAAAACCCGGTATATAATTTTCTATACTTGTAAGTATATGGCAGGAACCGATTCTAGAAGAGGATGTTTTTTTATCTTCAAACTTTTGTCCAGAGGATTTTGAAAATTATAGTGGTTTGGGGGATTTCAGCCTAAATATCCCAACCCAAAAAGTGTGAAGAAGAAGGAGGCATGTAAGTATACTAAAATTTTGTAGGGTAATTGGAAATTCTGTTTTTAAATATATGTAATCTATTCATTTTTGGAAAAGCTTGGCTATTGTGATATAAAGTCATTCCAGTCAAAACATGGTTCTGTGTAATGAAATGAGGAAGCCCAGCAGCTATCACCTAAAACCATCTCTGAGATGTGTTGTTGAAACGCAATGGACTTACCCCTTATGACCAGAAATAAGACTATGAGAATATACCCTTGAATGCTTGAATTACAGTAAAGGATCAGATAGGATAACAAGACCTTTCAATACAGTGAGGTAGATTCAAAGGCTTCATAGTATCTTAGGTACTGATGCCATAAAAGCTTATAATCTAAAGGATTGCGGGAGACACCTTTAACTGTTTATGTTTTGTATTGCTGTTATGATGTCTCCATTATTAAATTTTATTATTCTGTCTCCTTATTTTTAAAATTAATTCTAAAACAAAATTACATTGTACTTGAATGTGGATTCAATGCATTAGTACCTCCCGTTAAATTCCTGTTTTTGAGATGGAAACGTTTAACAACTCCATCTGGAACTTACAGTGGTGCCGTAATACTTGTGCAATAATAGAAAAAAAAAAAATAATAATAAGGTTCGATAATGACTGTCCACACCTCACCTTCACCCCCCCCCCCCCCAAGGAGCAGAGCAACTTCTACTAGATGTTAGGGAAGCTCTGCCATTACTCATAGGATGACAATCAAGTAAGGAATTGAAAAGAAAAGGAAATAATAAGAAGAAAAAAAACATAACCAATCTTAACGTGCCTTTCAGCATGTCCAACTTAAAGAAAAAAAAGGCATAAGTGGTTTGGTTATAAATTTTAAAAGAAAGGATACAAGTCATTCTTGACAAGGCAAAAAATGAGTATTTTTTATGTGTGCCATTCCCTTGGAATAATATGCAGGGGTGTACTTAAGAAATTTCACGGAGGAGGGTTTATTTGTTTAGTTTGTCCATATAACAAAATTCTCCGTTACTGGGTGAAAGATTTTACAGTTAACTTGGGTTGGTTTCATCAGTGAAAGTCATCTTATCAAAGGAGAGAAGAAATTTGCCAAAAGAAAAAAGACCGGCAACCCTGAGCAGAGTGGGTAAGTGAACGAGGTACCAATATCTGACCACAAGAGCGGTCGGTGGTTAATCTTCCATACAGATATGGTAGGTTATCGTTTTCTAGTACACATCCTATACAATAGGCTACATATTCAAGACAGCAATGTAACAATTTCGTGAAATTTAGTGCATTTCATCAAAATCGGGGATACGAAGGTCACCCTAAGAACTTCTCCTCCCTTCCCATTTTCATTCTCTCTCCTCTCTCTCTCTCTCTCTCTCTCTCTCTCTCTCTCTCTCTCTCTCTCTCTCTCTCTCTCTCTCTCTTCTCTCTCTCTCTCTCTCTCTCTCTCTCTCTCTTTCTCTCTCTCTCTTTCTCTCTCTTTCTCTCTCTCTCTCTCTTTCTCTCTTTCTCTTTCTCTTTCTCTCTCTCTCTGGTAAACTCAGTGCAAACGCGACCGAACATAAAGCTTTTGTTTCTTTCACAATTTCCAATACATTTTTTTTATTTATCTTACTAAACATGCCTGAGCATTAACCTAAACCACGGCTATAAAGTATATAAATATCTATTCTTTCTTTCTTTCTTTCAGTCTTTCACTTCGATTTATATTATCAAACGTCTCTTCGGCAGAACTTTGCTTTTCTTTTTCTCCTTTTATGAACGCATTCCCCAGAAAATGCCATAGATCCCCTCAAGTACGGCTGGAAACAAGAAAGTCATGGGTGCCAAAGCCCCATTTGCTTCGAGGGTCCTGCACTTCCAGATGACCTCATCAGCGTAGAAGATCACAGTATCGAGGCTGGTGACTGGTTAGTGTACCAGACGTAGTAGTAGTTTTGGTAAATACAGCGTCAATCATAATTAGTTTCACGCTGTTTAAACCTGCTTTCGACATCGTTATGGTAATGACATTCTGTGACGTATTCAGTACACTGCGTTCCTGTGGTTAAGATTTTTTCCGGCAGTTATACATTTTAGGTTAATTAAAATCGTAAGCTGAATATACATGAAAATATCATCATGGGATTTCTATGCAATATTTACTATTTAATATGCTAAGTGATGGCTGTTTTTCTTCATTATTAGTGAATATTCATTGCCCTTTCCCTAAAGACCAAGGGAAGCATACTTGCCAGCAACCGATCAGTGCGCAGGATGACGTTCGAAATCACCAAGGTGAACTGGCCGGTTGTAATCACATGGAAATCTGCTATTTCGGAAATCAGTGACAGTCGATAAAGTGGACGGTAGGCTGCGTTGTTATGAATTTAGGCTTAAACAGGGCATTAAGCGAAATAAAAGCGTAAAATATTAATATGGGAATATTATATGTGATTTCCCTGTTTTCTTTATTGTTAAATATAACAAATGACACCCACATTTTCTATTAGTAAAATTCTATTTTCGTGATTTACCTTAGTTTACCAATAAATTCACTGTTATTCCGGAAAACGAAATACAATTGAAACCAGCGGAATTTTTTCCGTAGATAAAAAATTGGCCTCAAACAAATCATGCCCAGAACAATAAATGGAAAATATCAATATGAGAATATCACTTGTGAATTTCTTGTATCCTTTGGTATCATATCTTGACTTCACTTCGTTTTATCGGTGAAGGCACCATGTTCCTCATATGAGAATTTTCAGGAAACAAGGAAAACACATTTGTCGGAATAACAACGCAGGATGATAAGCGATGAAAAGGATGAAAAATCTACGGCACTTGAATACAGCCCCGAGTGGTTCGGCAGTTATTCTAAGGAAATTCTGTTCTTCCGGTAAACAAACGCGGCAAAGTGCTTAAGGCATTATGCGGAATAAAAATGTAATTATTAAATTGGGAACTATATAAACCAACAATATATGATTAGCGAAAGTATTATGTTTGTGTTTTGAAAATTACCCCTAGTTAGCCTCTCATAAAAAAAAAGGCTTAGCTTCACACAAAGCAATTAAAATGTGCGGAAAAAGTTACGTTAATTAATAGCACCCTGCTACTAGTTTCTGGTCATTCACAAACCACTGCTCCGTTCCAGTAAGCTTTGGACGCTTTGTAGTGCAACGGCAACGGCCTCGTCTAGATATCTTGCTGACCTGCGTTCGAATCCGAGCGCTGCCAGTGGATGGTAACCTTGCCATTCCTTGCACCTAGAGAACGCTTGAGATGCAAATAAATATAGTATTTCACAGAAAAAAGAATATCCACAGTAACAAATGGAATTAAAGTAAGCTAAACCTTTGTCTCTCATAGAGTATTTACAGCAGGCAAACAACCGAAGTACTTATATAAAACAAACAAAAATGCCCGATTCCCCTCCCCGCAAGAACCGAAGAAAGATATCAAAGTTTGTGTGGTATTTCTGGTTGTGACAACTCTGGACTCATGGCAAGCAGATTACGTGCCAACTGCTCAAAATACTCAGCCCACGTTCCCGCGCCGCAACAGGATCTGAAACGATCTGACCACTTACTAGGCGAACTGCTGTCACCAGAGAGAGAGAGAGAGAGAGAGAGAGAGAGAAGAGAGAGAGAGAGAGAGAGAGAGAGAGAGAGAGAGAGAGAGAGAGAGAGAGAGAGAGAGAGAGAGAGAGAGAGAGAGAGAGAGTTGCACATGATGTTGACTATGGCCGTCATCATAATCTGACAGAAGAAATAAATGTTTATAAGGCGCCGTTCATTATAGAGGTTCCCCTTTCTGTATTTGTTTACACTCATTTCGGGTAGATGATAAGATTCAAATAAAAACACGTTGGGAATTCAGACGATGAAGTGAAAATGGAATGAAACTAAGAACCAAGGTGAATGCATGCAAAGGAACTGACGTCGATTTTTTATGTTACGCTGCAAGAGGTACCGTTTCCCTCGATAGTCGCTCTTGTATATCCTTGTCTTTGAGTGTTTGTTATTTGTTCATTTGCGATTCTTTCAGCATTCGTTCACCTTTGTTCACATATATTCTCGTCTTCACTCCCTTGCTCGCTGCTATTGCTGTGTAAATTGGACCCACCTTTGTGCCAGTCCTACATGTGTTCATGGGTATTAGAAATCTGGATTAATGATTAAAGAGGAAATGATAGCGGGGTCAGAGTTGAAAAAACGGAACGATTGATGGCGACTGACGAGAGAGAAAGGCCGGGATTCAAGGGGGAACTAAGATAACCGTTGTAAAAGAAAGGACGGAAGACAGAGGGCGTGTGTGTGAGAGAGCGAGAGAGAGAGAGAGAGAGAGAGA